CAATATGTAAAGTGCAGGTGCTTATGAAGCAGGTGGGGAGCTGAGAATAGGAGCACAGGCATGTGCAGAGTTATAGTGGCCCCAGGATTGGGTTGAGGTCTATTTCTGTATGATAAGTGAGCTGGTGCCCAGAGTACAGACACACTCAGGAAGACTTTGGCTTCAGGGCCTGGAGTTTGAATTAGCTCACTACGGAGATGGCTCAAGTGTCTGAGACATAAACAGACATAGTGCAGCAGGACCTGGGTCTGGAGTGTAGGCACTCATGGTGCAGCGGCGGCTCAGGGGTCAGGGACACATGGGACAGGGAGAAGTGGGGTCTCTAGTCCAAAGTGGCATAACAGTGGCTGCTTTTTGAAGGGGTCTGGGGTATGCAGTCACATCTCCCTCTCTGGGGTTCCCCTTTGGACATGGCTGTTAGTTACCTCAGTAGCAAAAGATGTCAGTGTCTCCACTGAGCAGGCCTCTGGGACCATGGTGTTCCTGCTGCATGGCTGGCACTGATGGCCTCCACCTTTTTTCTTTGTTTCTAGCCATCCCCTTATATCTTGGGTGTGCCAGTCTCATCCGTGCTTCTTTCTGAGTAGATATTCTCCATTTTTTACTCCACTCTTTAGCTGCAGATTCTTTAATGGGCCCTGAGTCCTCTCAGGGGTATTTTTGTCTGTGGACAGTTGTCTGTGTTTATTGTTTTGTGGGGGATAAAGGCTGGTATCTTCTCCTCCATCTTGGTGACTTCACCCATTCTAGGTTACCTTAAGTCTAAATTTTTTTATGGTGATTTTTTTGACATTTAACTCTAATCTATTTGGAATTTATTAATAATGTGGGATACTTATTTTAATCATCGCAATTAAATAATTCCTTTCACTAAGAATTTGTAATTCTTCCTCTACCACATTTAATTTGCAGATGGATTTGACTCTTCTTCAGATCTACCCATTTTCTTCCTTGTATTTTTGTCTATTTAAATATTTGTCTTCTTTTATGTCTCACAACAAAGTTTTATCCTCTTCATTTTATCAACACTTTTACTGTAACACATTTTGGTTACATATCATTTTGTATATTTCCTACTTTGATTTTATACTCTGTATTTAATGTGATCTTTTTTGTTAGCATAATCTTATTGCTATTTTTGCATGTAAATGTTATTACGTATATATATATATATACATATATATATATATATATATGTATATATATATATATATATATATATATATATATATATATATATATATATATATATATATACTTAAGTGCTAAAAGGAATGATTACTGAAATCTCATTTTAATTTTTTCCATTGGTTCCCTTCTATTTTTTAGGTTATTCATAAACTAACCTGCAAACATTAAAAATATTTTTCTATTACTTTTCTTGTTGCCTTATTCCATAACTTGAAATTTTTGAACAATATTGAATAACAGTGGTGATAACTGGCTATGGCAGATCTTAGTTTCCCAACCATGATTCTTCCTTCTTTCTTGATAATTGTAACTCCATTTTCTTTGGGAACAGTTAACTAACTACGTGCTTCTGTGGAGGCTCAAACACTGTCCAAATAACACTAGTCTAGGCTAATCAAACTCCTATATTCTACTCATCAGGGACTGTTTTAGCAATGAGCATAAACTGTGTGTCAAGGACTCCTAGAACCTTCTCAAAAGCCATCCTCCCACTTTTCCTCAGTAACAGACTCTTGAATTTATTGAGAGCATACTGTACAGCTTACCCGCGCACAAACCATCTTATAAAACAGAAGGCTATTTTAAGCTGAAAACAACATAACTTTTATCACATTAAAAAAAAAAAAAGAAAAAACTTATGGTGGAATTCTGATTCTATCTTCATTGAGGCAGAAGTTCCTATATACCTTATTTTTCTTCTCTGCATTGGTATCTGCATGTAGTATTTACTTTTAAACTGTGATGTTCAGAGAATTCTTCAGTAATTATAAGTTTGAGGGTTTTTTTGTTAGAACTGATTGGCACTCAGCATGCCCATACATTTTTTTTTTTTTTCCCTTTTTTGTCTTTTTTCATGACCGGCATCGGATCGCAACCCTCTGTCGCGCCCGTACCGGACCGGGACCGGCAACGGGATCGCAACCCTCGGTGTTGCTCCCG